GCTCTCTTCGCCGACCGTCCACCGGCGGCCCCCTTGTCCAAGATCCTCTCCAGCAACCAGCACAGCATCAATTCCGCCCCTTACGGTCCTCTCTGGCGCCTCCTCCGCCGCAATCTCACTTCCGAAATCCTCCATCCTTCGCGGGTCAGGTCCTACGGTCGAGCTCGCAAGTGGGTTTTGGATATTCTTCTCAATCGGCTCCTCTCTCACTCTGAATCGGGAACCCCCGTTTGTGTGGTCCAGCATTTTCAATACGCCATGTTTTGCTTGTTGGTTCTTATGTGCTTTGGAGATAAGCTGGACGAAACCCAGATCAGAGAGGTCGAGAACGCGCAGCGCATGAAGCTGTTGAATTTTAGGCGTTTTGGCATCCTCAATTTGTGGCCGAAATTGACCAAGATTTTTCTCCCAAATCGCTGGGAGGCGTTTCTCGAACTCAGAAGGAACCAGGAGAGAGTCATAATCCCTTTGATTGAAGCAAGGAGGAAGTCCAAGCAAAACAGAGCAAACAGAGCCAAAATTGGAGGAGAAGAAGAAGAAGAATTCGTAGTGTCATATGTGGATACACTCCTGGATTTGAAGCTCACCGACGAGGAGAACAGAAATCTCACGGATGGCGAAATGGTCACTTTATGCTCCGAATTCCTCACCGCCGGCACCGATACCACCTCTACCGCCTTGCAATGGATAATGGCGAATTTAGTGAAATACCCAGAAATCCAACACAAGCTTTACGCAGAAATCAAGGGAGTTATGGGGGAAAGAGAGGAGGAGGTGAAGGAAGAAGATTTGGGGAAAATTCCATATCTGAAAGCCGTGGTCCTAGAGGGATTGCGCAAACACCCACCTGGGCATTTCCTACAAGCACGAGAAGTGAAGGAAGATATCAAATTGGAAAATTACGTGATACCCAAGAACGCGACAGTGAATTTCATGGCGGCGGAGATGGGTCGGGATCCGAAAGTGTGGGAAGATCCGACGGCGTTTAAGCCGGAGAAATTTCTGAAGGACGGAGAAGAAGTGGCGTTTGACTTAACAGGGAGTAAGGAGATAAAAATGATGCCGTTCGGAGCAGGGAGGAGGATCTGTCCAGGGTATGTTCTGGGGATCCTTCATTTGGAATATTTCGTTGCCAATTTGGTATGGCGGTTTCAGTGGAACGCCGTCGCCGGAGACGACGTGGATATGTCGGAGAAGATAGAGTTCACGTTTGTGATGAAAAATCCTCTCAAAGCTAACATAACTTCGAGGTTTCAAGTTTTTGTTGATTCTGCACGGTTTTGTTTTACCATCTATAATTCCAACTAGTTCAACTATGTTCACGTTCACGTTACCATCTATAATTCCTATGTTATTTATCTTTCAATCAATTGCAAAATAAGGGTAGATAGTCCTAAGTATTTTGTTTTTAGAATATGACATTACAAATTTGAAGATTGAGGTTGAATCTTCCATAAAGAATTATTACGTCAAGACACTTAGTTATATTCAGATTGGTAGAAGAAAAATTATTATGTCTCACACTTAGTTATATTAGATTGGTAGAAAAGTAAAGTAGAGGCTGAGAAATGGGAGGGGACTTTACATTTTTGTGTTAGCTTGTTGTTAACTTAACAAGATATGGATATGATGATGTGGGTAGCCTTTGTGGATAACAATATGGATGTGAGAGGAATCTGGTTTGGATTATTCTTATCCATTGTCCAATTCACTGGACTTGTAATAAGTATGGATAATTTAGATGGGTGACAAAAAAAGAACCCCATTTTAATAAATGGTTCTTTTTTGTTGTTACTAGAAAATGTGTATAAGAGACAGGTGCACGGACGAGCATGAATCCCAGCGGACCTGAA